AATTTATATTATTTTTATAACATTCTTATTACGAACGAAGGACGTATAAATAAAGTAGTTTTGTAGTTTAAATTGCTATTAATTACTAATACCGGCCTGAGATAAGTTTGTCTGAAAGCATTGGTGAGACCCAGAGACATGGTAGACAGACAGTGGCGCTGCAGTGGCAGTAAATTCATGGAGGCACACACCGCACGCACAATATCACAAGATAGGAAGCGATTTCAGATAGCAACAATTAAAGGCTGTCAGAGAGATTGTAGTGTTTCGTTAAATGTGAACCTAACGGCTATAAAAATAGTCTCTAATGTGTTTATGAAATAGTAAATATAATAGTGGTTGCGAACAGTATTATTCCAAAGGTAAAAGACTCGTTAAAGATGTCTTCCCTCCAAAAGTCGATTTTAAAATCTAAGCTACCACCGTCGGGTGTCAATTTTGGAGTCGGCTCTAGGTTGGTTTATTAAAATTTACTATGCAGCTTTCACAATGTAATTTTCTTGATAATTAAAATCTTAGTGAAGTTACCTTCCCGATAAAAATAATGTGATGTTTACGATTATACTTCATTACAAATTTGATAGAAAGCCTTGAAATACTAATTGTTAGTAAACATTTCAATCTTTTCTTAATGAATAGGGTTAGCAAATCGAAAGGATTTCAACGTAAGAGAGATTATGATCCAGTTCAATGGACCCCATATTTTGATGAGGCTCAGGATATAGAAATAGGAAGTGACAAATTCCATATTTATACTAAGGGTACTGAAGGACCTACATTAGTATTGTTACATGGAGGTGGCTATGGTGGACTAACTTGGGCAGAATTTACTGTACGTACTGATTAGTGAGTATACAATGTACAGATAAATTTGTATACCTCATGTGTTTCAGAAATCTATTATGACTATGATAGTCTGTAAAGTTATGGCAATTGACCTTAGAGGTCACGGAGATTCTCATACATCGAATGATGACGATTTGTCTGCAGATACGTTAGCTGAGTAAGTAAATTTTTTAAATAACTACAAGTACAGATAATGTAATATACATTACTAATTATTTGATTGGGTTATTAGGGATGTTGCAGGAATCATAAAAGCAACAACAGAAAATAATCCTGTGATTTTAGTGGGTCACAGTATGGGTGGTGCAGTAGCTGTTAGGGCTGCATCATTAATTCCAAATTTACATGGATTAGGGGTTATTGATGTCGTCGAAGGAACAGCTATAGATGCATTAGCATCGATGCAAAGTTTCCTAAGATCTCGGCCATCTAGTTTTAGTTCTATTTCTCAAGCTATAGAGTGGTGGTTAGTACTTTTTTAATTTTATAACATATTAATTGCACGTTCGGTCGTCCTTTCATGTAGTCTTTGTCAGTTAAAATAACTTGCTATTCTGAGAACATTTTTCAGAACGAAGGCACATTTTTTGGCTGATCATGTACAAATTAAAATACTATTTACTTTAATATTTAATTTTAGTGTACGAAGTGGCCAAATCCATAACATACAATCAGCTAAGGTCTCAGTTCCTGGACAAATAAAAAAGTTAGTACACCTATGTACAAATACCACGTTAGTATGCTATCGCTACTTTTCTGCTTTATTAATGTGTCATATTTTACGTTACTTAGCATCGAAACTGATAAACTAGCTACTCATGATATTGATTCATTGTCGCAATCTCAACCGACATGCGAATGTAATTCGGACGACATAATTCCACGAGAAGATATTATACAAGAAGAGGAGCCAACAAATATGCCTCCACCAGCAACCCCTTCAACTACTAGTGTTACAAAAAAATATGTCTGGAGGATAGACCTTTCCAAAACTGAACAACATTGGTTGGGATGGTTTAAAGGTTTATCAACGGCATTCTTAGATGTACCACTTCCAAAGCTGCTATTGTTAGCTGGAGTTGATCGGCTAGACCGGGAACTCACAGTCGGACAAATGCAAGGTACGGATCATAAAAATACAACTTTTGAGTTAAATACTTATAAGAAATAAAAAAATTGCATTTTGTCCTACTAGGCAAATTTCAAATGCAAGTATTACCAGCATGCGGACACGCGGTACACGAAGATGTTCCGGACAAAGTTGCAGAAGCAATTGCTACTTTTATGGTTAGACATAAATTTGCGGAACCAGCATCGGACTTTCCACGGTAAATGTAGTTTTTAAATAATACGACACTTCATAGTGTACGTTCCCGCAATAACTTCTGCCTGTTTATTTCAGAACATTTCCTGCTTGCTAGGATAATTATAAAAAGTACAATGGGCACTGTGTTAAGTGATGCGATTACAAAAAATTTGGTGAATTAATTAAGAAATGAGCACTTTATTTATTTAGAAAAGGTATGTTCATAAAATATATATATATGAATAAATGTGTAAATAAAAAACGTCTCAACAGGAAAAATAAATTTGTTCCACATGAAAAATGTATTTGTTAAAAATAAATTTGAATATGTTTATACAAAAGATGTACGTATAAATATGTACAAATTCATGACGGTACACACAACGTATAAAAATGGTAGTACAAACATTATATTTATAGTAGGACGCCATATAGAGCAATATACATATCCACGGTATCTCATTTTAATCTTTACACGCGATCTTCTCGAAAAAAATGTTTAAACGAAACATACTCTATTCGAAGGGGGACATGCAACGGTGGACACTGCTTTTCTCTAGATGGAGACGTCTCCGAGGTTCGAAGGTGACCTGTATTTTTTTAAATGGAAATGTGGTTTTTTTACACTAGACACGTAGCTTAGCACAAGATAAATCCATTGATCTACAATATGTTGACCTTTTTGAGTTAATGGAATGTCATTCAAGGTCATTTCAATGGCTTGAAGTTTTCTTCAGGAACTGTTTCTTATCTTCTAAATTCAAAAGGATGACCTTGAACATTAATGCAACACTGGATTCTGTCCCTAAATGACAGTTCCACTTCTAAAGTTTGTCTGATAATTTGTCTGCAAGCATTTACTATTCGAGTCTTCATATTTTCAGGTGTGGTTGGCTCAATGGGTTCCTCATTCGAATAGAGTATGTTTCGTTTAAACATTTCTTTCGAAAAATGAATATTTTTCGAGAAGATCGCGTGTAACGATTAAAATGAGACACCCTGTATAGACAAAAATAATACTAATATTATAATATAACAGTATGTAGAAATTCATTTATCGTTTGAAGATCTGCATTTCAAATATTTTACTTCATGCTGACATCGAATACCGGAACATGAATAAAATCATACCATTAATCAAAACCTAAACCAGTTAAGTTCTTCACGACGACACAAGGTGCTCCTGCACGACCAGCATTTAAAGGAGCGACCTTAAAATATATCATTTTGAAGTACGAGTAACTAAATTTTGAACTTGATGTCATTTCATCTTTACCTGTTCCCATTCATTAAGATGAGGGTCATATGCTTCGACAAGCGTAAGATACTGTTGGCCATCATATCCACCTACAGCTATAAGCCTATCACCAAGTACGCAAACACCAACTGCGTCTCTTGGAACGCTCATTGGTGCTATCATGGTCCACGTATCTGTCTTCGGATCGTACCTAATATTTATTACTAGTTACATTACGATCATTACATGTAATACTGATTTTTTAATTATTCATCGTAAACTTTTTACACACCTCTCAACGCAATCAAACCTACTAGAATTGGGATTAGTAGAAGGTGCATCATGACCACCTAATGCATACAGACATCCGTTTACCACGCCTACACCGACACCACCTCGTCGCTTCGACATTGGTGCACACGGTGTCCATTTATTTGTGTGAGGGTCGTAACATTCCACAGTGTTTAAACAAGAACTTATATCTCTCCCACCTACAGCGTATAATCTAAGAGTCCACATGGAATATGTACCACGTTAATATTAATATATCAACGCCTCCTATTCATAAAATCACGTCTCGATACAGATATTTAATTTTCTGCAATCGTACTTATCATTTAAAACAGCAACACCAACTGTAGATCTTTGTATGGACATTGGAGAAACTGAACTCCATTGACGTGTAGCTGGATCCCATCTCTCAACAGTGTCTAGAAAACTCCAGCCATCATGACCACCGACTGCGTATAATGGTCCACCCAATACAGCAACACCTAATCCATGCCTATGGATATTCATGGGTGATAATGTACTCCATGTGAAAGATGAAAAATCAAAACATTCGACTGTATTCAACGTTTTTAATCCGTCCCTTCCACCCGCAACTATTAACTTTTTATCAACAATAGCAGCACCAAATTGGAGCCTCCTACCGCTCATGGTAGCCATGGATTTCCATGCATTATCACGCAAAGAAAATGCATCTATAGAAGTAGCACCTAACAAAAGTCATAACAAAAAAGTCGGTACTCATTTTGTTATTACATTTTTTCACTTATTTACCTTTATTAGCATCCATTCCCCCAACAGCCAACATGTGACCCACAGTAGCTTTTCGCGGCTTTGTACGTCCCGATTGAAGCAACGGTCTGCGCTCAGGTAAAAGATGATATTTCAATGCTTCCATAACTAAATCCTGTGCCAATCTTTGATCTTTGAACATTTCATTACTTTCTATATTGTCTGCTATAAACTGTACGAATGCAATAAGGACATTTTGTATCATTGTATACCTTCTATAAATACATAGCTTTAGCTTACCGCAGGAGATAATAGAGGTAACTTTACAAGACTTAATAACTTGCTTGCATCTTTTCTTCTATTTTCTGGATCATATTCCAGCCATGTCATAAGTGCCTGAAGTTAATAGTAACAATAATAGTTCCTCTATCACTTCAAACCTTGAGTTTAATCAGACATAATTGTTGAGAGCCGAACTATTTGACTGATTCAATAATTTTTCCTTACACATAAATAATATAAATCCTTACATGAAAAATAGTTTCTTCTGAAGGGACGTTGAGGTCTTCAGATTCTAAAAGTTTGGCAACTTCATTGGCAGATAATAGTAAAAACTCTTGATTTTTTGTAACTTCCATAAAATGTTTCGTCGTATACGCATGAGCATGATCTAATAAATCTGTGCAACCCTGTGTATCGGCAAACATTCTTATCCCTAAACAATTACTTGGATGGAGCTGTTTTCTAAGAAATTGACAACAAGCTTTAACAACTGGATTTAGTTGTAACAAACACGCCGTTGCCAGAAGAGTTTCTACACTGTCCTCCCTTAGTTCTATGCAACCTAATATTTAAAAATATGAAGTTTATTTTATATACAGCTGATTCTTTACAATATCCATACCTTATTAAAATAATGGATTCGTATTTAAATTTTTTTTTTCTAAGGTATACCTGTGTAACAATAGCAGACTAGAGCCCATAACGCATCCCCGTCTACACCCTTTAATTCAACCTCATCTTGTGCAGATTCTCTTAATGAACTAGTGAACATGGCAGCAAAATATTCTGAACCTGCACTAAGCACTAAACGGTGTGCAGGAAAACGTCTTTTCCCTGAATAAACAATAAAACAATAAATACGTTTACATTGTTTAACCGATCGTGCATTTCCTTTATTTCAATACCAATTTAGATGACTCATCTCTGAGCAACAAGCGTCATTCGAAAACAAAGAAATCTGCGTGTACCACTACTCACCTGCAATTAATGTGACGTCTGTTAATTGTTGCTCATGCAAATATTTCTCCATGACTTTAAGACTGTCCTCCGCGTGTTTTAACACCCGAAAATTTTCATCCTGCGAAACAGAAATGCTGGATACTATGCTAGAAATACTATGTTCACTGCCAGACGCCTCTTTGTTCGGAAACAAAAATTCATTGTCGACTTTGTTCAATCCCGTTCCGGCCTGATTTATCTTCGACATTCTCACACACAAACGTATATCGACAATTACTCGTGTTCAAACGGTCCGTAATATTTCTTCAAGGCACTTTATATCGTAAAAGTAGTTTAATTCCTTCGCGCGATCAACGGTACGTCATACACTGAAACTTGACGGCAGTGAAGTGTTGACGCCGCGCTTCACCTTGACAGTTCGCGATGTAAAACTGGATGTAAACACTGAACTGCGTTTAGGTACCGTGCGCCGGTGCGCGTGCTGCGTACGGTGATACGGTCAGTGACCAGTAGACTGTTCGTCTTTTAGGTCAGTAAACATACCATACAATCACCGCTGCATTATTTTTTACAGTAAAAGATAAATTGAAGTTACTTTAGTACACAAAGATATAAACTAATTTTATTTCTAAATTTATCTATAACGTTATGAGCATTATAACTGAATATTCAGATAGTAGAATATTAATTAGTAAGCATAAGATTTAGGTTATGCATTAGCTTAATTTTATTGCATAGAATAATATATCAGTAATACTGAGTAGTATGTAATAGTATATATATCTGACATTTAAAAGTATGACATGTTTCACGTATGATTCGCCTAAAATTTAATACACTGGGTGCAAAAAATTAGGAGCAGAAAGGAATTTCCTCTTTGTTAGAAGCATAAAAGTAGTTGGAAGAAATTTAACTACATAACTTAAGAACAATTCATAATTTTATCATCAATATTATATGAATGTATTTGTTATTTAAATCATGTTAGAAGTAGAAACGTTTCTCGAAATATCTTTTGTAGTTGACAATGAAAACATGTATAAAAATGGTTTAAAAAGAAGTTACTATTGAATGTAATTATGGTAAAAAAAAGATATTTCTATAAAATTATACTTAATTTCTCTACCAATAACAAATCCAAAGATATTTTGCGCGGTTACGAGTCAATTGTAATTCTTTATTTTAAACGATTAACGAAACGGTAGAGAATAAATGAAAATGAAAAATTCTTGTATTTATTTATATTGAAAAAGATATAAATATTACAAAAAATAAAACGCTATAACTAGAATTTGAGAGAAATGTGATGTAAAATTATTTTGCAACACACATATTTATTGTTAACTTTCGATTGCTGGTGATTGCTATTAATATTGTATGTACAATTAAACATAAGAACGCTGTAAATGACGAAGATGGCATATGAAAAAATGGGATGACAATCTTAATATATAGATAGTAATAATAGCATATTGCGCAAATATAAAGTAACAATTCTTCTTGAATCTCTTTGATATTTTTAAAAGATATGTTTTCTTATGAACAAAAAATGTTTGCTATGTACAATTTTTTCTATATTCGTAACTGAAATTCATAGTTATTTCGTTGTTGTAACAATTTTTATTAAGTCTTGCCTTACGGCAGTCTACTCCGCTGGAGTAATGTCACTGAACGAGTTACCGCGCTTAAGTGTGCACATTGCAAAATTTTTAAATAATCAATTGAATGTACATATTACATATAATCCCGAGTACGAAAATTGAATCGATCATTTGTTTTTAGATATTTCGCTGTGCTTTCCCTCATTGAATTTAGTAACTTCGTATGTGGTAATATAACTTGGAATTATTTATACCTTCGCTAGACTGCCCAATCTGATTCGAAAGCATTTGAAATTGATGCAATCAATATTTTCGAAGAATCAAGCGATACGCGTGAGACATAATTCCAAAGACAAGTGCACTAAGAACATCATTACAGGCAAGATGACAAGGAGATACGTTAGAAGATGAAAAAAAGACAGTTGATAAAACAGAATATTCTCAATCAGTAGAAATAATTGGTACGACGGAAAACTGCGTGAAACGAAGAACAGCTGATGAAAAGGAAAAATAGAAAATATCTTAGATAGATAGAAATACATAAAACACAAAATGACTACTTATGCGTTTTAAAACATTAATGAACAAATATAAAAATAGTAAGTCGTAAATATTACAGTATTTTATGTATTATTGTATCCGTAATAGTATAATGTACTTTTCTACAAGCATCTTTCAAATTCGTTAGGTCCGCGTTACTGAGGTAGTTTAATATTTCTTGAATACAAAATGAGTCATAATATCTATTGAGGTAACCGCGGAAAAATGTAACGCCGCCGTCTAACAACTCCTTTCGTATCATACCCCTGTTGAAACGGCGTTTTATCATGTCTTCATACATAGGAAATTCTCTCTGATAATTGCCCTGTTTCAAAACCTGAACAACGTCTTCATTTCTCGCGTATAATGCTATTTGATCTATCCGTTTTGTTAGGATATCATGAAATGAAAGGATAGTATTGTTAATTTTTGCACTTTTCATTCTCTTTATCTCTTCCTTACATTTCTTCTCAAATAGAGACTGCCCGTTTATATCCGTAGTGATATTAAGATTCTCTACATTTCCGTTATTCTCGTCAAAACTAGCAATTTGCATTTTAAGTAGATTCTGTTGGATAATGGTAAATTCGTAGAGCTTCTTAGGCCTATACTTAGAATAATTAACGTGGAACGCTGTATCATGGTGTTTGTTAACAATGTTGACATCAGAACCGTTCTCTATGAGAGTCAGAACGGCTTCGTCTAGACCGGCGTCGGATGCGAGATGAAGTGCAGTATCACCACACACATTTATAGAATTGATGTCGACGCCCGAATTCAAGAAAATTTCCATAATATGTACGAGACCACGTTGAGCGGCCAGATGCAGCGCTGTGGATCCACTATCGTCTTTGGCATGCACGTCAGCTTTTTTTGTGATTAGTATCTTGCAAATTTTTTCTTTTCCTTGTCGCGCAGCCAAATGAAGCGGTGTTAGTCCATTATCACTTTTCATGTTGACAGTGGCACCATATTCTATGAGGATTCGTACGACAGCTTCGTGTCCGTTCATAATGGCTTCATACAGCGCCGTTCTTTGAATTTTGTTTCTGGCATTTACATCAGCTCCTACGTTGAGTAGCAACATGCAAATTTCTTCTGTTCCTTTTATCGCAGCCAAGTGAAGCGGTGTCATGCCACTTTCAGCTTCCGACTTGAAATCGGCATCATTCTTTAAGAGGATTTGTATGATATCATTGTGCTTATTTTCGATGGCTAGATGCAGCGCCGTGAATCCACCGGACATTTTGGCATTCACATCAACTCCTTTTTTCAGTAACAACCTGCAAATTTCTTCAGGTCCTTCTTGTGCAGCAATATGAAGCACTGTCTCGCCACATTCACTTGTCAAATTGATATTGGCATGATTTTTTAAAAGGAGATGTATGATAGGATAGTGCTTGTTGTGAACGGCTAAATGCAGCGCCGTGAATCCACTTCTCATTCTGGCATCTACGTCAGCTCCTTTTTTTAATAGCAACCTGAAAATTTCTTCTGTTCCTTCATGCGCAGCAAAATGAAGTACTGTCACGCCAGTTGCAGTTTTCAAGTTGACATCAGCATCATTTCTTATGAGGGTTCGTACGATATTTCCGTGTCCTTGCTGATAGGCTAGATACAGCGCTGTGACTCCTCTTCTGTCTTGAGCATTCACGTCGACTTCTGTTGTGAGTAGCATCCTAAAAATTTCTTCTACTCCTCTACACATGGCAGCATGAAGCGGTGTCACGCCCGTGGAAGTTGTCAATCTGACATCGGCACCATGTTCTAAGAGAGTTCGTACAATAGCTTCGTGTCCCTCTGTAGCGGCTTCATACAGCGCTGTTATTCTACTCTTGTCTGTGGCATTTACGTCAGCTCCTGCTTTAAGTAGCAAGTTGCAAATTTCTTCTGATCCTTTTACTGCAGCTATATGAAGCGCCGTCACGCGTCTTTTACCTTTAGACCTGACATCAGCACCATTTTGTATGAGGATTTGTACGATATCTGTGCAGTTATTTTCAACGGCTAGATGCAGTGCCGTGCGCTCATTTTCGTCTTTGGCATTCAAGTCAGCGCTTCTCTTAATAAGCATTGTAACAAGTTCTACGTCACAATTCTGCACAGCAATGTGGAGCGGCGTACTCATAAGCAATTGAGACTGTCGAAAGCAGTTAACGTTCACACCTTCGTTTATAAGCAGTTTGGCAATTTCACTGTGCTTCTCTTTGATAGCGTCACATAGTAAAGAATACCCTGCACTGCTTTCTCCCTCCCGTAGGAAATTATTATTATTACTAATTAAATCACTAACTCTGTTTAAATTCCCTTCGCGGATAGCAAGGACCAACTCACTCAACTGACTGCTCCTGTCACACATTTTCCTTGTAAACTGACGATATATATGTGCCTCGGGTCAGTTATTTATTAAAATTAGTTGATAATGATGAGACGCAGTACACCGGCCCGTTTCCCTCTAGTCTCAATGACCTAAAAGATTAACCATGTGATTTCTCTCACTTTCTTTTTTATATCCTACATCTTATTACTAATTTTAACAATTTCTAAGCGTTTGTTAAATTACCAACAATCAACGGACGCGGTATCGTCCCGAAGGCAAGTTTGAGTCTGAAGGTGGCAGCTTGCCGTCGAGTACCGCGTCCTTTATATACACGTAAATATTGTTTTACTTACTAAATTCTAGCGGAGCTTAGAAACTTGATGTTGGGATAATATTGGAATTGGAAGCTGAAACAACCGACCATGAAGACTAAAGTATGGTCTTCGTATAACCCATGCATCCTAATTGTGTGCAACTGGCGGTCCAAGACTAGTTCAAGTTCAAGACACAGTTGGACAGAGTGGTCAGTTTGAGGCAGTGTTGGACCACGGCAGCGTTCGTATAATTTGTTCCACACGGCTCGCTTCCCCTCTTTTTCGCCCATATTTCGATCCCCACTACTATTCTCCTTATAGGCCTTCGTTGATCATGCCTAGCATACCCCCATCAAGTACCAGTCCCCACCATGGTCGCGTCGACCCCACTTTCCGGTCGAGGGACAAATTATACGAACGCTGGGCCACGGCCGTCACTAAAGACGGTCGTGATTGGGCACATCATGGGATTTTTATGGCGTGCGCACTGAAAGTTACTAGTAGCAGCCNGAATATAATAATATATAAATATAAATCAGTATTTATTCCGTTTTTAAATTTCTTTGATTCTCGCACAGTTTTATCGTAACAGAGGATCTTCCTTTGCTTGTTCTTGCGGTCGACGGTGAGGTTTTGAAAGATCCATAGGATTCGGTAGTATCATCTCTAAAACTTAATAAAAGCCACAATTTACCATAGTCAGAAAATTATATCCAATTTAGTTCAGTTCATTCACTTACTGACACTTCCATCGTAACTCGGACAGTATGGGTGGTGTTGGCGGTCTTACAATTGGTTTTAAGTCATGAGTTCTTAGATAAGCATATACAGGAATCTAATTATAAAAATGAATATAATTTTAAATACAATATCGTTCAACCAATTTCATTATAGTAACAATTAGGGTAGCAAAAAGACGAATCTGAGGAAATGCCTTTTTTTGTTTCACACCATTTTCAAAATGTATGGCTTGCAATATGTGCGCGTATAACTTCGGAACAAAACTACTACTATTTTGGTTACTATTGCATCGCAAATAAGGTTTTTCGGATGTAATAACATTTTACGACCTAATTTCTCGAAACAGGATTTTAACAGAAAAGCTATTATTTCCTGCAACTCTTCAATTGCATATATGTATACAGTAATTTAAATGAAAAATGTGTTCTCTTCTACTTCATCACTTACAGTTAGTCCGTATTCTAAACTCAAGCTGTCAGAGAATTAGAATATCATTTTTCTTTGAAAGTTTTGCATGATACAACTTTCTTCAGCTCTGGAGCTCTCTATTAGACTCGAGAACTATTTAGATATGCCTAACGAGATACTTACGTAAGGTAACGATGTATCAAGAATCGTCGGTTCAATATATTTTTTCGGTATATCCGGAACTCGATAAGAGCTACCCAATATAGGCGATCTTAAAACGTTTCCATCGATTGCCAGAGGCGTTCCTTCAGCCCGATCGTGGTTTAAATCGTATTCATTGAGATAATTTGAGTACGAGTTGCCGCTCCCGATTATTTCACTATCATCCATCCCGACTAAGTTTCTCTTATTAATTATCTATTGAAATAATATATTTATCTAAACCGTAAAATAGAAACTGAATTAATCGAATCACCTCTTATTCAATGATAATCCGAAGATCCATTTTAGTGTTATATTCAACGTAGGTTCCAGAGAGTGACTTTCACGAGTCGATATTTGGTCAATAATTTCAGTGGCCTAAGTACTAATACTATACCATGGAGTCATCCCTTGCTCCTTCCATGCTTGATTCTTTAGACTTTAAATCGAACAAACTTTTTAATTATTATACACTGAGAGATCAGAATAAGAGATGCATTGAACACTGTATTTCATAATTTCAAAACATTGGTTGCTGTAAAGAAGAACGTAAGAGTAAGAAAAAAAGATACATAACTTTCTTCAATTAATGTATTCAACGCAGTCCTACATATAACATGTATAGGAATAAGAGGATAGGTAATGAAAAATATGTCTATGACTTAAGGGGTGCATAATTATTAATCCTGTACTATGTTTTTAATTAACTGTTTGGTATAACGTGCGTCGTCCGTCGTCTACGTAAACGTGGTACTTGTCGTCGACGTCGACTTCGAGGAGGACGACGTTGTCTTTATGTTGTTCTTCTCAGGCGCACGCGTCCGTTCATAGGGGGTGGAAAGCGCAAAGCGTCGACTCCGTCGAAACGGCGGAAAACGTAACGTGTTTTATCGATTTCGTCGAGTCGGCCATGTTCGTGTTCGTCAACGGTCAGGCGCACTCGTGTTCTATCCAAGAGAGACCCGTGCCACCGATAGATTTTCCACCGTCTACACCGTCGTCGATGTCGCAGGGCGTATAACGATGCGCTTGTGAAACGCGACGCCCCGTGTGTTTTTCTTCCGTTCTTCACCGTCACGAGACAGGATTCACGCTCTCGTATCGCGAATCATTTCCGGTCCGTGTCCAGCATTCATTAGCGAACTAAAGTAGCGAGTGAACGAAACGTAACAACCGTTCAAGAGCAGGCAGACGAACGACCATCGTGAGTACCGCTCTCTTTCTGAGAAACAACCCCTCGCAGATCCTCGAGTTTCCCTCTATCATCGATGTTCCAACTGTTTTTTAATCGTATATATTTTTGGTTGATATCTCACCAAGAAATTTCTGTTGAACGAGCTTTCTACGGTTTCCTAAGCTACCATAAGAAGGCTGTTTCCCCGGTGTTCCCTGCCTTCCTTCTTCTGAAGTAATGTTCTCTTTCTGCGATTCTACGTTCCTGCAGTAAATAAACTTACTTTTGACGGTGTTTATGAAGTTCAGGAAAAGTATTTTCGACAATGTTTTTGTTAATCTTGATACTATCGATGGTTAGGAACTATACGAATTTCTAGTACACATTCCACTGTCCAAGCAGAGATCATGTACAGATTTATTTAATTATTTTTTATGAGAAATAAAGGTCTGTTACTTTTTGCTCTATTTTATCCCTCTTCCTCTTTTTTTTTTAAAAATAAATTATTTTCTGCATCTTTGAAATGATAATTTCCTTTGTCGTTGCTCTGTAATAAGTCTTACATGTGTAAATGATATGATAACGATAAGAGAATTCTTTATGAGGGGTGAATACTAGGTCTTCAATCATCCCGGAAATCAACTACAATTCCGGTGATTTTAAGACTAGTTTCAAGTTCGGTCTTTAGACAATATTTGCTTCTGCCTGAATTTACCTTTGTCTTTTTCATTTGCCATTGGTCATATGTTAATCAGCTGTCCACATTTAATTCATTCTCTTTCGAAAGACATCCTCACTGTTTTTCCTCTGCACCCAATGACTTTGCAGCTAACAGTCGTTCATCTCGATTGATCGATCGACGATTTTATTCGTCCGATTTACTTGTCCCTACTTTTAACTTCATTCTTTATCGTGAAAGAGTCCGCACACGCCTCTCGAAACGGCTGTGAAACGTAGGCGAGCCTCGCTTGATCGATTTCGTCCCCGGCATGTGAAAAATCTCTCTTCTTCCAATTTTCTCAAGTGTTCCGTATCGCGACCCGATTACAGGGCCGGTTTCTCTTCCGTGCAAAACGGCCGATGAATAGAGGAGACAGACTCGACTATTGCACCGCGTCGATAGATTCACGAAGATCCGTCTTTCAGCCAACTCTTTTCTCTTTCTCTTTCATTGAGCTTTTTATTGCGTTCACCTGTCATGCTTTCCGAACCTAAATGTTTTCAAAATAATTAACGGGGTGGACTCCGATAGCGAAGCGATAACGCAGAATGTCATTTTTACCTACTAAATTGGCCAAAATTGTGGGTTTACGCCATTCGATTCTACGTCTTCATTTCTCAGAGAATTAAGATAAAATGCATTTTAATGTCTAGTTTGAAGTACATTCTAGATCGCTCTGATCATTGTNGTAATAAGTCTTACATGTGTAAATGATATGATAACGATAAGAGAATTCTTTATGAGGGGTGAATACTAGGTCTTCAATCATCCCGGAAATCAACTACAATTCCGGTGATTTTAAGACTAGTTTCAAGTTCGGTCTTTAGACAATATTTGCTTCTGCCTGAATTTACCTTTGTCTTTTTCATTTGCCATTGGTCATATGTTAATCAGCTGTCCACATTTAATTCATTCTCTTTCGAAAGACATCCTCACTGTTTTTCCTCTGCACCCAATGACTTTGCAGCTAACAGTCGTTCATCTCGATTGATCGATCGACGATTTTATTCGTCCGATTTACTTGTCCCTACTTTTAACTTCATTCTTTATCGTGAAAGAGTCCGCACACGCCTCTCGAAACGGCTGTGAAACGTAGGCGAGCCTCGCTTGATCGATTTCGTCCCCGGCATGTGAAAAATCTCTCTTCTTCCAATTTTCTCAAGTGTTCCGTATCGCGACCCGATTACAGGGCCGGTTTCTCTTCCGTGCAAAACGGCCGATGAATAGAGGAGACAGACTCGACTATTGCACCGCGTCGATAGATTCACGAAGATCCGTCTTTCAGCCAACTCTTTTCTCTTTCTCTTTCATTGAGCTTTTTATTGCGTTCACCTGTCATGCTTTCCGAACCTAAATGTTTTCAAAATAATTAACGGGGTGGACTCCGATAGCGAAGCGATAACGCAGAATGTCATTTTTACCTACTAAATTGGCCAAAATTGTGGGTTTACGCCATTCGATTCTACGTCTTCATTTCTCAGAGAATTAAGATAAAATGCATTTTAATGTCTAGTTTGAAGTACATTCTAGATCGCTCTGATCATTGTTTAATAAGATTATGT